GTATACTATCTTAGATGTAGCAGGGATCCATATAACTTATTGTCCATTCAGAGGACAGAGGATAACTACCCATGATGTCATTTGGGATGTGATGTTTGCTATTGCATGAGAGTATGAATATCTTACATGGAGTTGGTTGCCTTGCAGTCGACTCAAATTATGGCATACCTTTACTTAGTTTGGGAGGATCAGGTTATCATTACAGACATTGTGGTTATAGATCCTACACATGACATAGTAGTAGAGGGGTGATTACTCATCCTTCTAGGTGGGCAGCAAGTGGAGCCACAACATCCAAGATCTTCAAGTATAGAGGTCAAACTATTACATGGGGTATCATTTTCTTTATCATATTGTGTAGCCTATTTTAGATAGAGTGTATCTATTGCTCTATAGAGAGCATTGGTTGGGGCAATCCATAGCAGAGCAATCACATTAGATGATATATCTTTGGATGCTCAAGTGATATGGAGACCGTTTGATAGTTCAGATATCTTAGGTGTAGTAGGACATATTATCAAATCATACATATTATGTAATGCTATTAAAACCTACCCCAATAGCATCACATAAGCCCCCTTACAACTTGACGGGGATATTCCCATCCTTTTTTGCTATGTTACTCGCTCCTCTTCTACTTTTCCTTCAAGATTATGAAGTTTTGAACACAGTCTCACACCCAGCTTTGTACAAAACATAATCGATGGTTGGGGAAGCTGAGAACATGAAAAGCATGTTTTGCTCATGTTCCGGCATGATGGCAAAATTTTCTAAAATAAAACAAAGCCAAGATAAAAAGAAGTGGAAGTACGTCCAACCCGCAGCCACAGGAAAGAGAAGGAACTAAACTCTACCATGATAAATCTCTATCTTTTCAACTGCTATTGCATCTAAATAACAAGATCTAGTTTTAACGGGGTCCGTCTCTATCAACAAACACTATTTTAATATATACTGCATGTTAATCATTTTGGAGCGGATGATTACACATTCTATTGGATGTGCGGCAAGTGTAGCAACAACAATCAAGGTCTTCAAGTATAGTGGTATGTAGAGAGTTCACCTCTTTGTTCATCCAGCTTTGGAATTATATAAAACTATGGACATTGCCTTCGACACGTTTGTGAGCAAGTGCACAAGAGCCTACCATACTAGGAGAAATTTGGTATCACTCTCTTTAGCTTATTGTATAGCCTTTTTTACGCATCGTGATTCATTATTTTATAGAGAGCATTAGATGGTGCAATCCATAAGAGGGCAATCATGTTAGATGATACTTCTTCGGATGCTCATGTAGTATGTAGACATTTTGACCTAGATAGTTTGGATATCTTAGGTGGTGTAGTACATATTTTCCATTGTGATAGTATTGGGCTCTAGCCCTATGTTACCCCTTTGGTTTCATCCATGTAGGACTTGATGGGTTCTTCTTCCCATCCATTTTGCTATTTTACTTGGTTTCTTCTTTATCATAAGATCTAGTGATAACAACATTTGTCTCGAGGGAATCCTTATCGGCATGCAGGAGAAGTACGATTCTTCCTCCAGTGAGGCTTGGTTCCGAAGGCCAAGGGCAGCCATGGTTGATCGTTCCTCACTGTTCTGCAACGGAACAAACCTGGCAGTAATAAAATTCTCCCCGTCAGGCTTCATTGCCCCATCACCTCTGAAGCATACTTTGGGTCGTCGTCGCCTAGTGTATGGATCTGACTGCCTGTGCAGTGCGGCGCATGTGCCTCCTCAGAAGGGGTTGATTACTGGAATGATATGTTGGGCCCAGTTGATCGGAAAAGCTTCAGAAAGGAGCACTTTATTGACTCTTCATGGTTCAAACTTGGTGCTGGTCGTTTTGGTGGAGTTTAATCTCGACTCATCGATTCTTAATGCTGCCTCTGTAATAATACAGAGGCAGCATTTTTTGGTCTAGAACTGCGTGTGAAACATATTGACCAAGCGTTTAGTCATCACCTCTCTTGTAAGGTTCCAGTGTCGAGATGAAGCCCAACTTCGGAAGCCTTTCATCATAAAGCCATCCCAAATATGAAAATGAATGCTATGACTGTCATGCCGTGTTTGTTAAGACATGGGAAAAGCTCTGCACTGAAAGTGGATTTTGCTTTGGTTTTTTACTGAACGGGTGCCAAAAGAAGCTGCCAATAGCCGAGCGTTGAAGGCTATTCTTCATGAAGGAGCAGATACTGAGGAGCTTGTTTGAAACCTCTATTGAGAAAGGTTCACTCTTCATCACCCGGGACCAAAACAACAAAGCCACTCTGTGCGTCACGAAGCCCGTAGGACAGTACGTAATGGCATAATGAAAAACTAAAAAACCACGTGGAATGACTGCCAAAATATGCATCGTTATTAAATCTTTTGAGAATCAAAGGTCAGGGCTTCTGCTTAACACACGCAAAATTGGATTGCCTAAAAAACAAACCTTATATACAGTATTACGATCACCTCATCTAATAACCATCCTATTGGTCGCCGTATTGGTCGCCGTTGGCTCACCTCTAGCTGTTGCCAATTTAGTATATAATAATTTAATAAGCGAGACATTCCGCTGGTATGCACAATCTTGGATGAACTTTGTTAGGACTGACCGGCATACAAAGATATGGTAGGGTATCAATATCGGAATTTGATCGAGAATTCCATGCTTTAAGAACGTTCCTTCGCAGAGTTCCGCTGAAAATGCGAAAACGTGTTGATGTTTCAATTCATGAGCCACCATTTGGTAGATCGGCACGAGTCCGGCTGGTCTTAACTTGCATTGTGGATTCGACCTGTGCCTAGACCAAGCCCGTCTTTTCCCGCTTTCTCAGACTCCACTTTGGACCTTTCAACTTGAAGTTATGGTTCTCAGGTCCTTATCAGTATGATTCTGAGCCTAGAAAATCATCCATCAGGGTACAAGATCTAAAAGTTACCCTGTACTTCCGCTTTAAATCAATTTTTTTTCTGTATGTGGAGTTGGCATGCTCTATGCCAGGGGCCATCAATGCCGGAAAGAGTTAGATGAGGAGAGCGCAGTATATGTTTTGTGAGAAGAACTTGCGCCAAGATGGAAATCAGCATGCTCAGAAGCAACGTTTGAAGACTATTCTCCATGAAGGAGCAGAGACTGAGGAGCTTGGATGAAGGCTATACCAAGGCACACAATCCCTTTTTATGCACAACCTTCGAGTAATGATGTATAAAACAGCATTCAATATTCACAACTCCAGTTGAACTCTGCTAAGGGCTCTTCTTACATCATGAATTTATCTGAAACTACCTTTATCCCGGTATGCAAGCCTGATTTCCTGTCAATAAGCTGAGATCACACATTGTGTGACATTCTGTTTCACCTCACTCTTGGTTTTCTGGGGTTTCATGGTTGTGGCTCACGTGGTTATTTGAATTTCATACGTAGTCACTTTGGACCGTGGGTGGAAGGAACCATTATAAAATCTCAACGATGGGTATGATTTTTCAGAGCTTAATCCCACTCTCGCAATTTCTTGTTACGTGGCCTCGTTAATCGTCCTGGTGATCCAAAGCTTCCCGAACTTTGAGTGGTTTCGGTTTGAGTCGTAATGTCACATTCTCTGATTTCTTACTTGATACTGACACAAAACTGAAAATCTTGAGCAGGGCACTTGTAGAGGACAAAACGTGGCATGGTAATAACTTACATATGGGGCCGACTTGTTGGGAATGTTGGCTTTGAGCGTACGTTCAATGGTCCAACAGGTCTCCTGAATATTCATTCTCCCGGATGAAGCTTTCTACATATGAAGACAATGATGGCCAAGCTTGGGAACATAATACATATAGAGATGACTCCAATCTTCTCCTTTAGCTTTGGAGTTATATGGAGGTTTGGATACCAACTTCGACATACTCGTGAAGGAGTGCGCGAAATCCTACCATACTAGGCGGCATGGGGTATCATTCTTTTTAGGTTACTGTATAAACTATTTTAGTCAAAGTGATTTCATTGCTCTATAGAGAGCACTAGCTAGTGCAATCCATAGGATAGCAATCAAGTTAAGTGATGCTTCTTCGGATGGTCATGTTATTTGTATAACGTTTGATATGCTCATGTTCTTTATCTGGAAATCAGGCTTGCATACCGGGATAAAGGTACCGTCGAAGCAGGAGTTTCAGATAAATTCATGATGTAAGAAGAGCCCTTCGCAGAGTTCAACTGGAGTTGTGAATATTGAATGCTGTTTTATACATCATACACCATCCAAGGTCTAGTGGTACGGCACGAGTCCCGCTGGACTAAAACTTGAGTTGTGGGGTCGGTTCCTGCCTAGACCAAATACCTTTGGTCTTCCTTTCAAGTCTGATCCATGCTGCCTGGGATCTCAAGTTTTTCAAATCAGTGTGAGATGAAACTGAGAAATAATACCTCTTCAAAACTTTCATTGCAGGCTCAGGCTTCCCTGCCTGACACCTTGGATCTTGGTTGTTTTCTCAAACGCTGTATTCGTTGCCTGTGTGTAAGGAGGATATTGGTCAGAGTTCATAAAAACAGCTGAATTAAGGAGCTGAGTGATGTTCCCTGTCAAGTTGTTGTTGTTATGAATGAAGGAGCAGAGGTTGAGCAGATTGCTTGATGGCTTTAGTCTAAATACTCACTCTTGACTAGGCCACACTTTCTCGTTGTTTTATACTCTACTGAACGCTACAGTAATTTCAATTCCTTTTCTTTTTTTGGGCTATTTTTCTAAAAAGTAGAATGTATCCCTTTAGTTTACTAATTTCAAGTTTGTCAGCACCGGCCTTCTTGCAAGGAGGTGGGTGCCTTGAAGGAAGGGAGATTGTGTCTACTCCGGGTTAGGTTGGACTCATTCGTAAGTACTGTAGCCGATGACAAATAATGTCGTATCTTCATGGGTCAGGGTTACTGTGCCATAGAATAGAGTCCACTGAGATTGGCCTTACTAAAGCCTTGCGGTCTTATAATTTAGTGTATCAATTCCTTTTAATAGAAAAACGAAGTTGTGTAAGGTCCAGTAGCTCAATGCCAGAGCCATTTCATCTTGAAATTTGGGTTGCAGGTTCAAGTCCTGTCTGGATCAAGATTTTGTTCCAGAGAAGAAGTTTTTTTTGGTGATTGTTTTCTGCACGCCAGGAATCATGTGATGTAAGTAGCACCTGTTAGTTGTTGGGTTTTATCCCTCTAGTGCTGTAGTCCTGTCTGAAGACTTGAATAATTTTTATAAGCTTTCAGTTGAACTATAATGACATGCAGGTTTTCCTAACTTGTGATTGGGTCATACATACCAACTGGTTTTCTCCGTTAAGTTACTGCGGCAGAACAAGAGTGTTGTTTGTCTTTGGCCTTATCACGATGCTGTAGGTCACTCACAGTTGATTTGGGACATGGTTTGTGCTGTAGACTGAAGGTAAGTATGCCATGGAGAAATATCCAGACCAATTCATTCATGAACATGACTTGCACCTCAAGTTGTTATCTTTCGCATTATCCTTACCATTGGCTTCCCAATGTGTCGAGGTTATTTTTCAGCTCGGCTTCCGAAACACATCGAGGCGATTCTAGAGCTTTGGGATGCAAAGAAGAGATGTATCCTGCGGAGAAAGTTCACGTCTTGAGATGCTTGCTACCGTCATGTCAAGATCAGGAGGTTCACTGGCTCATTGCACAGCTAGTGAACCTCAATGTTCTTTTGCTCAGTTTTGCGCTGTTTAGACCATCTAGCAGCCCTATCTTAGATTATTATTTTGGTTATCTTAACAGTCAATTACTATCTCCAGTTCAGAGCTTCAGCCTTCAACTCTGGCTCTAACTAACCAGACTCTCATATTCAAATTTAAATTACAATTTTTTAGACTTATGTTCTCTCTCTCTCTAGAACCACTATGTTCTTTTTCTCCGGTACAACCACGAGGACTTCTGAATGGAGACTACTCTTGTTTGAATCTGATCAAATCTAGGGTGTGAGTGGAGTTCTTTTTCCTGGTAAACGCTTGTTTCGAGGTGAGCAGAAGTATGGAGGCCAGATGGATTGTCCGCGTGTGTATGAGAGGTCTAGTAGCTGAATACCAGAGCTATTCAGAAAGTGAATCGAAGTTGCAGGTTCAAGTTCTGCTGGAACCGAGATTCTGATGCCTTTGAGACTATCTGCCGGATGTTAAGACGTCAGTAGTGTGATGCCTATGGAGTAAAGCATTTGTTAGAGTTAGAGTTTTAGAGTGAGAAAGAGAGAGCTAGAATTTGTGATTAAATTTGAGTATGAGAGGTCTGGATGGTTAGAGCCAGAGTTGTAGGCTGAAGTCCTGCCTGAAATGGAGATACTAATTGACTGTTAAGATCTCCTAGATACTTATGGGGCTGCTAGATGTTGTAATCGGCGCTTTGTATATTTTTCACAGAGCACTCAGTGAAGTAATGAATCTGGATCTTGTTAGTCATGTAGACGAGTGAGAGATCGACGTTTATAATGCAGAGACTAAGCACATATCAAGCTATTCTTCTTCGGGGTTTGAAGCATGGTTTAAATTTACATGTCTTCCCTATACATTTCCATTTCCTTCAGTGCTTTATATGATATATGCATCGAGCAGCCATGAACTTTCAATGAAATGAATCGATACCACGTTCTAAATCTTTTTAATATTCATATGAGCATTTAGTGAACTCTGAATATCTAGAAGGTGATGATAAATTAAAAAAAAGTTGCAACCTTGAACCTTCCTTTTAGTGACCTCTAGTTGCACATGATACTATTTCAAGGAAGAGAATGATTTGCAGCAAAAGACGAACTTGTAATGAGGATAGTGAAGTAAATGCTAGAGTTCTAGTGTTTGGGAAGACATATCAGCCATAGAGAATCATATGTCAGAATTGTATATTTCTGTACACCATGTTTTAAATATTAACTTCATAAAACTTAAAAGCATCATCTGAAATAAGATATAACCATTAATTATTCATAATTCTATAGTAATAAACATATGAAATTACAGAGTTTAAAAATTTGTTTTAGTTGAAATGGTAGGTGCGATGATTTTTCTTCACGGGTGAGTTCTCAGGTTCAAATCCAGGATGGCCCATCTGTGCCGAAACGAGTAAAAAATGCATAATGATTCATTTCTGCATTTGGAATAAGAACATCGTGCATAGCTACTCTGTTAGAACAAGTTGAAGTGGAACTGGTTCAGTGAGTCAGAATTGATCATCACACAGCAAGTTTGTGGTCAAATAGACATTCTTAACTCATGTAGTCAACCCAAAGTAATCAATGTCACCAATAAACGCGGCCATCCGGGTTGATCTACAATGAAGGGAAATAACGTTTTCTCTAGCTCGTGTTGCACATTCAATAATTCATGTGCTAGCACTGTCATCAAAGAGATGTTGAGGTAGGGTGAGTGGTAACTAAACTCGGCACATCCATATATTCATGTTCAGATGATATATGGACATAACGTCCCAACGTTTAGGACTCCCTGGCAGGCAGGTACGTTTTAAATCTCAAATCGCAGTTGTTGAGAGTCATATCCGCCTAACAAACATAGAAAACGTTGATGTATAAACATATACAAAGTCTAGACACATGCACACAGTAACTGGCATACACCCACTATTTGGAAAAGTAACAAAGAACACACGTATGAAGTTTTGTGTGAACTGATTGATATATCCAGCAAAAAAATGTGATTTGCTAGAAAGAAATTTACAAGAGCTTACGCCTAGTACCCAACATGGCCTTTCTTCCTAGAGGAACTTTAGGGTGTGTTTGTTTCATGATTTGAAAAAATGTCATCATTCCAGTTCTGCGTCACGCATGTAGCACTTTCTTCAACATGAAGTGATGGGGCCGGACATCAATTTACGCATTTATTACAACCTCTAGTTTGATGATCAAAATACACTGGTGCTGGAGACCGAGTTAAAATTGACTTTAGCTATTTTTTCTTGATTACGAGAGCACGGAGATACAGTACCTCGTACACTTGAGGCTTTACTTATCCCACTTAATTTGCTTTCGTTGTTTGTAGACGCCTCCCTTTGAAGACATGTTCTTATTGAGTGATAAACATGGGTGAATTGTAAGAAAGTTTGCATGCATTATATATAACAGCTCATGTTCTTATTTGGCCTAAGATATTTGCCTGTGAAATGAGACAAGTGTGTAGTATATCGCTTAACGTACCTTTCACATAAGAAATTTGAGAGCCTTAGATGGAAACCTGCGCGCTAAAAGTTTTGCAACTGGGCCATCTATGGCTACCTGCATTCAGATCCAACATTAAAGTCATTGCAAGTTTGATATAGAAATAAAACTGTGATTATGGTCTTCATTTTTCTTTCCTAGTTTTGGGCTTGAGTGGTTGAGGGAAAGACGTAAGTGATATGTTTAACTTACAGCTGACCACAGTATTATGCAAACCATGTTCGCAAAAATGATGATCCATAGGCGCAGCCGTTGAGTGAAAACCATGGGTGGACTGGGAAGACCTCCAGCGTCCTGACTCCCAATAGTTTCACGACCAAACGACAGTCTTCAAGGATGAGTTTCATGACGTTTTGGCTGCTTCTATCAACATGGTAAGAGGTGGAAGTGAACTATTCTCATGAGTAAATCGTCAGGAAATCATAAGACAAAAGAAATCATAGCTCGCAAAAGTACAGCACCTGGTATGCCCTCCACACAGGGTTTTCGGGATTAGGCCTGTTGAACTGCTCGCTGGCCATGTGGAAGGAGCGCGTGAAGGCATTTTCTGAAAGGAGAAGTACGCATGATACCATGAACATGATCACCACCCAGGATGCCTGCACCATGCATACTGTTAAACTGAGCTCCAGATGTTTGAGTCTCATATTTCTTCGCGAATGACGTGATTGGCTTTCATCACTAGCGACTTTGATACTGTATATAACTTCGATAATATGGAAAGCGGTTCATGAAAGAGGAAAGAGATTGTTTGCTATGGAGGAATGAGAACTATATCGTAGCCTGATCAGGAAAATGACGGGAAATATATTATGACTTCTGTACTGTCTATAGTTAAACAGAAGTGCCAATCAAAACGGTGACTTGAAACTTACAAACAACCCTTGGTTGAGGAAGACGCTCCGTCTAAAAGAAGAACCGAATGTGAAGGCGAATGATGTTGTGACGAATTGGGAGTACACAGTGTAGAAGATAACATTAACCTCCCAGTTGTCTCCCAGTGTCCACCACGAATTGCCCAAAGAGTACCTTCACAATTCCGAATTAAGAACTTGCTAAAGCACGCGACTGGAAGAAACTTTGTCAACGGCACTAAGACAGCAAATAGCCTCATGAATCATAACATCCCTTTATGAAATGATTAAGTATAATCAAAAGTAACTGATTTCTTGCCCAATTGCATTGGCAGATGCATGTTCTTAATTTTCGCAACCCGAAGTTCTGGGCCGGAGGATGAAGAACAAAAGAAGATGGTACCTACAGGGTTTGGGAAGATGAAGATGTGATATTTTCTATGCATAACTAAGAGGAGCATTGATCGCACAGCCTCACACGCTTGGAAATCCTATGTACCCCACACACAAGCAACTAATCTATAACTCGTCCCGGTTGGGCTCAAAAACTCTTACTTTGCTGGCCATGGAACATAGCCTTGTAGGTTTGTCATGTAGATGATAGCAATAATCAGGAAGATGATATTCATGAACCATATACCCAATGTCGATGCCACAGTTTGGGGACTCAGAAGAGAGGAAGTAGGCCTTTCCTGGAAACATGCACTCCCACTTTGTTTCAGTCATAAATCAGATTTCAATGCTTTCAACTAACGTCCTAGTTCCATTTCTAACATGAGTATCATACTCATGTTAGAAATCGGGAAATCATGTAGTTCATGATTCCCCGAATATCTAGGACTAACGAAGTGATTGTTTAAATTCCTGGTTACAGCAAATACTACTGTAGTTAGTTCGAGTCAACTAAACTAGCGTGTCTCCTTAGGATTGCTAACCTAATTAGTGACTTAATTTAGCTAACGAGTTAGGATTAGGGCAACTTCCTAAGGCTGATCCCCAGCTGTGCACTATACTACTTTTTCTCTGT